CTGAGCTGGCGGTGCACCGCTGGAGCAGTGGCGGCGCGCGCGGCCCCCGGCGCGTCAGCCCCTCCCCGCAGGCGTCGCTCGCGTCGCCTGCGCTGACTCAGCTCTTCCGGTCACCGCCGTCACTGGTGGTTCCCGACTGCAGCGAAGGTGCGGACGCCAAGCCAGGGCTCAGAAACGCAGAAGCCGCCAGCGTCCCGAGCCCTCTCCAGATGGACTGTGTTCCTGCCCCCGCAGTGACTCAGCCGCTTCCGCTGGGGCGTCAGCGGACCTCCGGCCGCGGTCCGTGAGGCTCTGCCACCTTCCCACTGCCCCAGGGCGGTCACCACGTGCCCGCTTCCGGCCTTAGGTGCCCTTCCAAGGCCCTGACAAGGATTGGCAACTTGATAAAGCGTCCCTGCGCTCCAGTACTTAGGCCCTGCCAGGCTCCTCTCAGAATATTGAGGAACTGAGTCCTCCGCACAAGAAAGTATTCCTCACCCTGCGGTGCGGGGAGGAGGTTAGGCTGAGACTAATTGAGGCAACTGAGGCCTCGGAGAGCCGCGGGTTCTTAGAGCTAGATGGACCTACTTTGGAAGCTCAGCGTTACTGCTTGTGGATGTGTGACACTCCCCACTCCTACCCCCACCCAGTTAACAGAAATGGGGACGATTCCATGCCACCTATGTTGTTGGCATAGCATAGCACACAGAAGGAACTCAGCAAATTTCAGCTTTTGTATTTTCTTTGAAATGCCTTTTAGATGTAGTTCTTCTTCTCCATGGTCACTACAAGTTATCTTGAACTCAGTTCTGGACATCACACTGCAGGGTCACTTCAGCAACTTCCTAACCGGTTTTGCCACATTCCCATCCAACCTCACACAATGAACAGGTGCATCTTTTTTTTTTATGACACACTGTATTCTACAAGCCATTTTTCTGTGCAAGAAAATGTAATACTCTGTTGTGTTTTGGTTTGAGTGGAAAGTCCTTTCCCTGGTATTTAAAGCACTCCAGCATAGTCTGGCTCTCATCCTTCCCATAAATATTTTAGGCCTGCTCTGCACCTTGTATTGTGGTACATGGATTCCTGCCCTCCAGAGCTCTAGTGAGGGGAGATAAATACATAATGACATTATTATTATACTGTGTAATAAGTGCTCTGATCGAAGTGTGAACAGAACAGAGAGCAACTCAGTGAATTGAAGGGGAAGAAGAAAGGCTTCACGGAGGAAGAAATATATGGGGCAGGGAGATGGCTTGATAGATGTGAGGCATTTACCAGCGCTCTGATAGATGCAATATATAGCAGAGTGTCCTCGTTGCTGTAGATTCTGGAAAACATCACTGTGCTCGGCCCTGTTGCTGTTACAGAAGGTTTGAAACATCTAGCCCTATCCTTTAATCTTCTTGGCTCCAGAAGCATTGTAGGAAATAAAATTTGGATTTAAAAATGATTAACACCTGATGAAATACAGATTGTAGAAAGAAATAATGGATTCCTTACAGGAAAAAAACCTGTACCAAGGATACCCTTATAGGGAGTAGAATTGGCCGTAGGGCCTGAGTGCTAGAGAAGACCATGTTTGTGAAGATTCCATGAGGCTGTACTTGAACCTGCCCCAGGTTAGCCCTCTGGTGCCCTATTATCAGTCCTGGGAAGGAGAAGGCTGTATACTAAAATGGAAACAATCGAATCACCAGGGGCCCAGGTCCTCTTCTGTGTGGCTTGCTGAAAGAATTGAATTATTAACGACCCAGCACACACTCTGTGGGAATGCATGTAAGAAAGGCATTTACCTACTGGCCAGAGAGAGATGGGCAGTGGAGGTCTGCAACTTGTCAGTCACAGATTCTAGGTGTCAGTAGTAGAGAGAGCCTAGGCTCCAAGGGGACCTCAGGGTCAAGGACACCTCAGGGACACAGCAGATGGCCCAAGTAGCATTGATATGGGTACTTACAGGCAGAGAGGACAGGGATCACAGAGGTGGTGAGAGCTGCCATTCAAACAAGGTCTGCAATTACAGTTTATTTTAATTTCTTTTTATTTTTCTGAATTGAAGTTGTCCATGGTGAATATGTTTTTAATATCAGAAAAAAAATTTTTTTAAGTTATTACCCAGTGTTGGTGCAGATGAAGTAAAATGGGCCCTCCTATCAATAGGGTTTTATAAGAAAGAAAGCATAATATATTTCCTGACTCATCCGTTGAAAATTACACATATTAATCATAATGTAAATGCTTATTATTCATGTGAACCAAAATTATGATTTAACTACTTTGAGAGACTGCAGGAGAAATGGTGGTGGGTATGTGGTATATTTGTAAGAGTGCTACAACCTCATCCACCACAACAGGAAAACAATGGATCTCATTTAAAACAGATACATCAGGAACTAGCATAAGCACATTATTTTGATGTATGGAAATAAATACCCAAAATAACAGTGAAAAAAGTGGAAAATCGTTGCCTTTGGGCTATGAAGAGGAATGAGGCAGAAGACTACTTTTTTTCACTACACACTTCTTGGAGTTTTCAAATTTTTTTTTAACTTCTTGCATTTTTAAGTACAGATAAAAGTAAAAGTGTGCGCTGGGTGCGGTGGCTCACACCTGTAATCCCAGCACTTTAGGAGGCCGAGACGGATGGATCACGAGGTCAGGAAATCGAGACCATCCTGGCTTATACAGTGAAACCACATCTTTACTAAAAATACAAAAAATTACCCAGGCGTGGTGGCACGCATCTGTGGTCTCAGCTACTTGGGAGGCTGAGGCAGGAAAATCACTTGAACCCAGGAGGTGGAGATTGCAGTGAGCTGAGATCGTGCCGCTACACTCCAGCCTGCACAACAGAGCGAGAACTCCATCTCAAAAAAAAAAAGTAAAAACATACAAACCTATTGTTCCGGTAATTTCATTTCTATGTAGGTATTCTACGGCAATAATAGCAGATGTGGGTCAATATTTATGTATGCTAGTCACTGCGGTATTTTTTTACATTCTAAGTATCCCATTTTTATTATTTTTAATTTTTGTGGGTGCATACTAGGTTATATAGGATTGTTTAATTAGAAATTAAAAACTGGCAACAATGTAAATGCCTAACAATGTAATAACTTTTTAAAATTATGGTACATTTGTAAAACGATTTTTTAAGTTACATTTTTGAGCATCATTTAATTTCATTGTTGAAATGCTAATTTAAAAGCGGTGAAAATACTTGAGGTTAGGATTGTGAGACCAGCCTGGCCAACATGGAGAAACCTTGTCTCTATTAAAAATACAAAAATTAGCCAGGCATGGTGGCAGGTACCTGTAATTCCAGCTACTCTGGAGGCTGAGGCAGGAGAATCATTTGAACCTGGGAGGCAGAGGTTGTAGAGAGCTGAGATTGCACCACTGCACTCCAGCCTGGGAGACAGAGTGAGACTTTGTCTCAAAAAGAAGAAGAAAAAAAAAAAAAAGCCAGACATGGTGGCTCACGCCTGTAATCCCAGTACTTTGGGAGGCTGAGGCAATTGGATCACCTGAGGTCAACAGTTCAAGACCAGCCTAATCAAATGGTGAAACCCCATCTCTGTTAAAAATACAAAATTAAGAGCCGGGCATGGTGGCTCACGCCTGTAATCCCAGCACTTTGGGAGGCTGAGGCAGACGGATCACCTGAGGTCAGAAGTTCGAGACCAGCCTGACCAATATGGTGAAACCTTGTCTTTAAAAATAAATACAAATACAAAATTAGCTGGGCATGGTGGTGCATGCCTGTGATCCCAACTACTCGGGAGGCTGAGGCAGAAGAATTGCTTGATCCTGGGAGGCAGAGGTTGCAGTGAGCTGAGATAACACCATTGCACTCCAACCTGGGCAACAAGAGTGAAACTCCGTCTCAAAAAAAAAAAAGTGGTGAAAATAAAAACAGACACACACACACACAAAAAAAAAGAAAAAAAAAGAAAAGAAAAACAGAATACAAAAGTACGTATGTTCGTGGTCGGGCGTGGTGGCTCATGCCTGTAATCCAAGCACTTTGGAGGCCAAGGCGGGTGGATCACCTGAGGTCAGGAGTTCAAGACCAGCCTGACCAACATGGTGAAACCCTGTCTTAAAAAAAAAAAAGAAAAAGAAAAGTATGTATGTTCAAAGCAAACAGACTAGAAAGAAGTACTTCAGAATGTTTATTGTGTTTATGTCTAAGAATTAGGATGATAGCGTTAAGAGCACACTAGCTGAATTCTCTAGGCAGCAGATGCTGAGCTGGAGTTAGGAGTGCAAAACTTTGGTTGGGGAGTAACACTTAGGAACGGGAAAAGGAGGAAGCAGTATTGGGCAGATGGAGCAGTGAGACATGATACAAAATCTCTACCAATGGGGAGCTCTAGAGCAAAGATTGCCTATTGTAGGTGTCTTATGATGCATGGGAACAGCCAGGCCTTTGGTCTACCACCTTGCACAGTCGTTGGTTGGGGCTACCCTGAGGAGTAAGTGACCTTGGCTAGAAGGCTGAGAATGAACAAGAGTTTAACAGCTGAGTAATAAGTCCTTTCTTGAGTGAATCTGACCAATGTATCTCTCTGCAACAAAGGGTGACTTTTTTCTTTTTGAGACAGAGTCTTGCTCTGTCACCAGGCTGGAATGTGGTGGCGCCATCTCAGCTCACTGCAACCTCTGTCTCCCGGGTTCAAGCAATTCTCCTGCCTCAATCTCCCGAGTAGCTGGGACTACAGGCATGTGCCACTATGCCTGGCTAATTTTTTTGTATTTTTAGTAAAGATGGGGTTTCACCATGTTGGCCAGACTGGTCTCAATCTCTTGACTTCATGATCCACCTGCCTTGGCCTCCCCAAGTGCTGGGATTACAAGCATGAGCCACCATGCCCGGCCAGGGTGATATTTTTTAAACCTTATTTTGTGTATTTTTGTAATCTAATTTTTGGCACAAAATATGACTTTTATTTTTATTTTTTTATTTTATTTTGACTTTTTTTTTTTTTTTAAATAGAGATGGAGTCTTGCCACATTGCCTAGGCTGTCTCAAATGCCTAGGCTTTAGCAATCCTCTCATCTCAGCCTCTCAAAGTGCTGGGATTACAGTTGTGAGCCACTGCACCCAGCCTAGAAACCCCAGCAGAAACCAACTCTTTTCCAAGAGTGCCAGTAAAATTCCCAGGTAAGACTGCCATTGGCTCAGCTTGGGCCACAATACTTCACTGTACTGCCACTGTACTCCAGCCTGGGTGACAGAGCAAGACTCTGTCTACAAAAAAGAAACACACGGGCCGGGCACGGTGGCTCACGCCTGTAATCCCAGAACTTTGGGAGGCCGAGGCAGGTGGATCACAAGGTCAAGAGATGGAGACCATCCTGGTCAACATGGTGAAACCCTGTCTCTACTAAAAATACAAAACATCAGCTGGGCGTGGTGGCGCGTGCCTGTAATCCCAGCTACTCAGGAGGTTGAGGCAGGGGAATTGTCTGAACCCAGGAGGCGGAGGTTGCGGTGAGCCGAGATCACGCCATTGCACTCCAGCCTGGGTAACAAGAGTGAAACTCCGTCTCGAAAAAAAAAAAGAAAACCTCAGAGTGAAAAAAAAAAAGGGCTGGGCGAGGTGGCTCATGCCTGTAATCCCAGCAGTTTGAGAGGCCAAGGCGGATTACCTGAGGTCAGAAGTTCAAGACTAGCCTGGCCAACATGGTGAAACCCTGTCTCTACTAAAAAAAAAAAAAAAAAAAAAAAAAAAAAAAAATTTGCTGGGCCTAGTGGTTCAGGCCAGTAATCCCAGCTACTTGAGAGACTGAGGCAGGAGAATCGCTTGAACCCAGGAGGAAGAGGTTGCAGCGAGCCAAGATCATCCCATTGCACTCCAGCCTGGGTGACAAGAGCGAAACTGTCTCAAAAAAAAAAAAAAAGAAAGAAAACCTCAGAGCTGGGGATTGAAGTGCCATAAATTCCTCTTGCCTCTGGGCAAATTTTGTCCAGTGATTAGATCAAGACTGAGCCTGCAGGTGGTATTGAATGTCCCCAGTTAAGTGGAAAGTGGAAAGAAGGAGACAGAGGCTGGTCCTACAAGGTCTAACAAACTCAAAAAGAGGTGTATGTTCTCTCAGTGGAATGCAAAACCTAATAAAAATTAAATTTAAAAACCTCAGCTAGAAAGCATTAAGAAACAAAACTGGGAAAGAATAAATGCTATTGAGACAGGTTGTTAAATTAGATTTTCCTATTTTCTTAGTTTTGGAGCTTAGACAATAAGTGCAACTACCCCCATATAAAGAGACATATCTGATCATTTATGCAGGACTCGCTCAAAGTGTAGCCTCCAAATTGGTTCTGAAACCCATAGCCCTGTACCCAGTTTTGGCCCGAGAAAAGAAAATCAAGGAGAGGAAGTTTGGAAAGTGAGGATTTATTTGAAGAGAACTATCAAAGTGCTATGGTTTTCTTGCTCCCAAGTCAAGGGCAGGCAAGGAGTGAGGAGTGAGTGGGAAAGATTAGCATCTCATGGTGATATGTGCTGAGTGGAAGAAACGCTCTGTGGCTACCTGCAACTAGAGCAGAATGTGGTGAGAAGATTTCTTGGGACAGTGTGACAGGAATGCCCTGACTTGTGAGGTAAAGAGACTCATCTGTTATCTCACCTGAGAGCTAGATGAGAGGCTTGCTGGAGGACAGAAAAGACAAAATAGGGTAAAGGACTAGGGGAGGGGGAGTCACAGTGAGTTTGAAAGGTACTAAGAAAGAATAAAATCGCTCCTTCCTTTGGCAAAAGATAAGAAGCCTAAATTCTCTTTTCAGCACTATCACAAATGAGTTGTGTTAATGTGGAAAAATTACTTGAACCCTCTAGGTCTGTTTTCTATAAAAGGAAGAACTGAAGTTGGACACAGTGGCTCACACCTGTAATCCCAGCACTTTGGGAGGCCAGGGGAGAATTGATTGAGGTCAGGAGTTAGAGACCAGCGTGGGCAACATGGTGAAACCCCCGTCTCTACTATATACAAAAAATTAGTTGGGCGTGGTGGCAGGTGCCTGTAGTCTCAGCTACTCAGGAGGCTGAGGCAGGAGAATCGCTGGAACCCTGGAGGAGGAGGTTGCGGTGAGCTAAGATTGCACCATTGCACTCTAATCTGGCAACAGAGCTAGACTGTGTTTCAAAAAAAAAAGAAAGAAAGAAAGAAAAAATAGGCCAGGTGCAGTGGCTCACACCTGTAATCCCAGCATTTTGGGAGGCCGAGGTGGGCAGATCACGAGGTCAGGAGATCAAGAACAAACTGGCCAACATGTTGAAAACCCGTCTCTACTAAAAATACAAAAATTGGGTGGGCGTGGTGGCACACGCCTGTAGTCCCAGCTACTAGGGAGGCTGAGACAGAAAAATCACTTGAACCTGGGAGGCAGAGGTTGCAGTGAGCTGAGATTGCACCACTGCACTCCAGCCTGGTGACAGAGCAAGACTCTATCTCAAAAAAAAAAAAAAAAAAAAAGGGGGCCGGGCGCGGTGGCTCAAGCCTGTAATCCCAGCACTTTGGGAGGCCGAGGCGGGTGGATCATGAGGTCAAGAGATCGAGACCATCCTGGTCAACATGGTGAAACCCCATCTCTACTAAAAATACAAAAATTCAGCTGGGCATGGTGGCTTGTGCCTGTAATCCCAGCTACTCAGGAGGCTGAGGCAGGAGAATTGCCTGAACCCAGGAGGCGGAGGTTGCGGTGAGCCGAGATCGCGCCATTGCACTCCAGCCTGGGTAACAAGAGCGAAACTCCGTCTAAAAAAAAAAAAAAAAGAAGAAAGAAAGAAAGGAAAAATCGGACTACTTTAGGGTAGGGATCTTCTATGACTAGTTCTACAGGTGTATTCTGATGCACTCCATGGTGACTCATGGAGTGGGATGAATTATTATGGTATACAAATGGTCTATGATTTATGATCGTTCAAATTAGGATTTTTGACTTTAGGATGGTACCCATACAATCATTCTGTTTTCACTTTCAGTACAGTATTCGATCAAGTACATGAGATATTTAAGACTTCATTATAAAGTAGGCTTTGTGTTAGATGACTTTGCCCAACTGTAGGCTAATGTAAGTGTTCTGAGCACTTTTAAGGTAGGCTGGGCTAAGCTCTGAAGCTTGGTTTAGGCTAGGTGTGTTAAGTGCATTTTTTCTTTTTTAAGATGGAGTTTTGCTCTTGTCATCCATGCTGGAGTGCAGTGGGACAGTCTTGGCTCACTGCAACCTCCACCTCCAGGGTTCAAGCAATTCTCCTGCCTTAGCCTCCCGAGGAGCTGGGATTACAGGCATCTGCCACCATGCCTGGCTAATTTTTTTCTTTTTCTTTTTTTAGTAGAGACAGGATTTCACCATCTTGGCCAGGCTGGTCTCGAATTCCTGACCTCAGGTGATCCACCTGCCTCGGTCTAAATGTACTTTTGACTTACTAGATTTTCAATTTACAATGGGTTTATCAGGACATAACCCCATCATAAGTTGAGGAGCTTCTACAAATACATTCCATTATATTAGGTCCTAGAACTTTCAGGTCTCAAGGGGACAGCATTCTCCCCTCCCTACCCCTTCTTCTCTTAACATTATTTAAAAGATGGATTAATTTTAAAATTTCCAAAAAAAAGTTATCCATAATACCGCCACCGGACACATTACTAATTATATTTTAGTCTATGCTAGCATTTCCAGACCTTGACCACCTCTCCTTGTATTTGCTCCAGTTACAGTCACTAGCACACACTTTTTGTGTTCTTACAGCACACTAGTTCAGTAAACTGTGTATAACCAACGGGAGTGAAGTTTGAGGTGCTTCCAATCATTGCACAATAAAAGGAGGCAAGGAACAACCTGGCCTTTAATAAAATAGTCTTTGAGGACACAGAACTACTCTGCTGTGGCCTCTCTTACTCCTTAAGTCCCTTGCCCTCCCCATCCTTACATCCTGATCCCTTCAGCAACAGCAGCAACTTAAGAGGCCCAGTAAATCTAAGCCACAGCAGCCTCTGACCTACATGACACTCACTCTGAGGCTGCTTCTGGTTTAGAAATGCCAGGTAATCCATTTAGCAGACATTGCAGCACACAAAGAAAACACGTATCAAAGGGATGTGGATATGCGCTGCTGATTCTGCTATTGTTAAGGCAGGTATCCAGAGACGTTGACAGAGAATCAGCAAGGTGATGACACTCCACCCACCTTACTTCCAACTATTGTGTCTCAATTCCTGTGACCTCAATCTTATGACAGGAACACAACTGAATCCAGCCCCAGGAAAGTCAAGCTTTCTGGAGAAGTCTTTGTACCTTATTATCTCGGCATAGACAGAAATGGTTTAGACAGGGCTTTGAGGAGCGATCCCTTAAAATTTAGCCTAATATTGTGGAAGTTTAAAGAGAGGTGAGAGGTAGAGAGCAATGGGCTAGAGAAGCAGGTAGGTAGGGATTAGTTCATGAAGTCCTTGAAGATTATAGGGGATAAAGAGCCTCAGATAATTTGGAGCAGGGATGTGTACACTCAGATCTATGTTTTAGAAAGATCACTCTGGTAACAGCATGAGGAATGACTTGAATAGGGCAAGCCGGGAGGCAGAGACCAGAGGTTATTATAATAGTTAGGACTGGCTGGGTGCAGGGGAGGCAGAGACCAGAGGTTATTATAATAGTTAGGACTGGCTGGGCGCGGTGACTCATGCTGTAATCTCAGCACTTTGGGAGACTAAGGCGGGTGGATCACCTGAGGTCAGGAGCTCGAGACCAACCTGGTGAAACCCCATCTCTACTAAAAATAAAAAAAATTAGCCAGGCATGGTGGAAGGTGCCTGTAATCCTAGCTACTTGGGAGGCTGAGGAAGGAGAATTGCTTGAACCTGGGAGGCAGAGGTTGAGGCTGCAATGAGCTGATTTTTCGCCATTGCACTCCAGCCTGGGTGACAGAGCAAAACCGTCTCAAGAAAAAGGGATTTGTTCTTGTTTTGTTTTGTTTTGAGACAGGATCTTGTCTGTTGCCCGAGCTGAGGTGTAGTGGCATGATCATAGCTCACTGCAGCCTTGA